TGCCTAGTATTGAAGAGGAAATGTTTTGGAGGGAGCGCTCATACATGGCTGAGAGCATATATTAGAACACTTCAGAAAGTAATTTGGCAATTACTAGGAAGTGGAGAATTAGCGAAAAAGAGGCAGACCCTAAAGAGATGGATGGACAGAGTAGTAGCAACAAAGGGCTAAAACACAACAACAGTTGTGTGGACACCATAGGACTGGGCAGTATTTCATTCTGTGGCTACGAGTCAGAATCTACTGGACAGCACCTAACAAGAAGAAGAATGAAATGGATGATGCTCTTCTTTATGATCTAGCAATTCTGCTTTCTAAATTTCCAATCTAGAGCAGGGTTCTTTAAACATTTTGACAGAACTACACTGTGACCTAGGAAACACGTACCTATCGCACGTCTACAATAGAAACAACTTTCACCCTGATGAGGTGTGATGTACCTCGGTATTTTCTACTCAGTTTTTAAGTTTTACAAAATGCTTATTGATTTTCATCCACTAAATTGACATCATGACCCATTAAAGCCAGTTGCCAGTGAGTTGACTCTGAACCATGGTGACATCAGGTATGTCACAGTAGACGTGAGATCTACAGGGTTTTTAGTGACTGTCTCTTTAGAAAGAGATCACTAGGCCTTTCTTCTGAGAGACCCCTGCGTGAATCTGAACTGCCAATGTTTAGGTTAGCAGCTGAATATATTAACCATTTACTTCACTTGGGGAGTACCATAGTTTGAACAACACTGCCCTAAAGGTAAGTGCATTCGGATACAGGAAGGCTTTACCGCAACATTGTTGTAACAGCAGAAATTGAGATAGGGCATCAATGTTGACCAACAAAATGAGTGGTTATGGTGTGGTCAGGAAATGGGCTACACTACTCGGGTGATACCATTGATATACAATGTAAAACCCTGGATATCACGCATTGTTAATGGATACATCTGTCTATGGTGCAAGTATAAAATCCTGCCTGGAATGTTCCCTCCCAAATCAGGAAATTGCTTATCTCAGGAGGGAGCACACAGGGATGCAGTTTGGGAGGCATGCATAAGGGACTTCAACTGAACAGTTAAGATTCAGTTCTTTAAAAAAAAATCTTGGAAACAAATTTGACAAAATAGTAAGATTTGACATTGCTGGAGGGTAGGTTATGTATAGAAGGTTCACTGTTTTTCTCTGTTATTTCTTAAAATATTTCATCATAATACTTTTGCTTCATGGTGATCTGGTACCTTAGGGAAGGGGAATTTATTTTGATGGTGGAACCTGAAAAGAGGAAGTGGTGGAGGAAGCCACATGAACCCAGGTACAGAGGTAGGAGGACGGATGAGGCCCTGGGTCATGAGAATGAATGGACCAAGCCCTTCCTAAATGGGTGGCACCGTCCTAAGGACTTTGTCCTACTGTATCCTCACACATTTGTATCATTATGGTTCACATTTAACAGCTGAAGACATTTTGTTATGTGTTGTTAAATGTCCTTTGAGTCAATTCCGACTCACAGCAACCCTGTATAGGGTTTTTAAGGAGCAACTGGTAGGTTTGAATTGCTGAGAAAACTTAGGTGATTTGTCCAAGGATAAGACCTGGAGTCCCTGAGTGATGCAAATGACTACTAACTGAAAATTTGGAGGTTCAAGTCTACCCAGAGGTATCTGAGTCTGAATCAGCTCCACAGCAAAAAAAAAAAAATTTTTTTTCAAGCATTGGCATGTGGTAGGGTTGGGACTTGAACTCAGGGACATCAGAGCCAGAGCATGGTTCCTCTGCTGTATGAAGATGGTGCAAGGGCAGCAGGGATAGGGATAGGGAGGCAGGCACACAGGGCCTGGTATGCCTGGAAAAGGCATACAGACCTTCTTCTACTGTGAGTAGTGAGGAAGGGCAGGAGGGTTTGAAGCAGAGGGGCAGTGGTGTATTCATTGGAGCCATATCATCTGTGTCTTCAACTTTTCTTCCTATTTTTAAAGCTAGCTGAACCTTTTTAAAACAAACTCTTAGAACCCTGATACACAAAAGAGTCCAGTGGAATTGGTTTGGCAGAAGCAGGTGACTGGGGCCTACAGCCTAGGAGTGACCCTCTAGGAACACAGCATGGATGTCATGTTCCAGATAGTTACCTAGAATCAGTATGAGTGGCCGGAGGAAGGTAATAGCATTCCTACACAAGACTTCCCAGTTTAATAGGGTGTCATAGTCCCCTGCCTGAGTCCTCCTGGTTGGGAAAGAGACCCTCAGAAGCTTGAGTACTCCCTGGGTATGGGGGCCCCAGCAGCAGGTGCATAGACCTGACCAGCTCCACTTGCTGACCGTGAGGACCTGGCTGAATTGTGAGTCATGTATTTGAATCTCAGGAAAGGAACGACATAATTCCTAAACAGTTGGTGTCACCTAGTGCTGTCACTCAGGGTGTCACTGCACCCTGCCATCTCCCACCATGGACCTTCTCCCATACCAAATCCTATAGAATCTTTGGTAATGTTTGTTACAAACTTTAATCATAGGATTGTTTTTGTTGTTCCAGAGTGGGTGCAGAGTGGGTGCCGACTCATAGTGACCCTGTATAGGGTTTCCGAGGCTGTAAATCTTTACCAGAGCAGAAAGCTTCCTCTTTTTTCTGTGGAGTGGCTAGTGGGCTCAAAGTGCTAAGCTTGTGGTTCCCAACCCAGTGCTTATCCTATTGAGCCACTGTGTTCCCTAATCATAGGATTGTTGGCATTGTTAAGTGCTGTCGAGTTGATTTCAACCCATAACCACCCTGTGTAGGGTTTCTGAGGAGCAGCTGGTGAGCTAGAACAGCTGACCTTGCAGACTGGTGCATTAACCCACAGTGCCACACCAGGACTCCGATCATAGGATAATATGTGATAAATATGGTTGTAAATTACTTGTAAGTAAATTTATGACTACTAGAGTCCTGGTGTAGCACTGAAGGATAAGCACTGGACTAGTAATCATAATGTTAGCAGTTCAAACCTACCAGTTGCTGCTTGGAAATCCTATATAGAACTGACTTGTCTGCACTTATCAACAACAACATGAGTCAGAACTGACTTGACAGCAGCAATGTATGAATACTAACAACAAAAATTGTTTTGTAAAATCTTTCTACATTAAATTACGTTATTAATTATATTATTAGTAACTGAGCTGTAGACTTACATTTTTTCTTCTTTTCCATTAATTATGACTTCATTCTCAAAAAAGTAATTGATACAGGTTTTTAAATACTAATTACTTCAATATTAAAGCTAAAACAGAAAATTAGACAAAATGAGAAGCTCTAAAAACATCCATAATGATGAAAAACAAACAGCATGTGCTTGTAGTGTGTGAAGATGAAACCATGCTAATTGAAGCATCAGTGAATTAAGTCATAATGATAGCTCTGAACAGAGCCCATTAGAAAGTTCAGAAAGTGTATTAGTACAAAGTTTTAGTCTTATAGGCATATTGACATATGTAAATTGGACTTAGCAAACATGTTTTTGTTGTTATAACTAACTACAGGGACAGTTTTATAAAAAAATATCTGCTGAAATACTGCACATTTTTACAAACAGCCATTTTTGTGTCATCCTCTCTGACAGTGTTACCAGGCACAGTTGACACATCCCTCTTCCACTGCCCCTGAATGTGGCTGTGGCAAGGAAAACCCAAGTCCTGAGTCAGATCACTGGCAAGGATATTTCTGGCTTTTTCCTAGTCATCCTTGGCTGTCTGGGGAATAGGAAAAGGCAATTGGTCAGAGCCTGGCACATTAAGAGATCTGAGATAAATGTTTATGCATATACTTCTCTTTTAAATCTGGGAAGACAGAGGATACCTGACTCCTACAGGCAAATGAAGCAGTCCTAGGGCTGACGGTTTCCCAGTGTGCTCCAGGGTTGGACAGCTGCAGTCTCAATACAGTGTGGGATGCATAACCTAAACAGTACTGGTTCGGCATTTGGGGCTTGGCTTTGGGCTCTAGTGGCCATGAACTGCTGTATGAACTTGAGATTTTGCACCTTCTCTGGGCTTTGGTTTTCTTTTTAGGGCATTAAAAAACAAACACTGAAACAGAATAGAAAAATATCAGAATGCCTCACAGGTCATAAGTTTAAGTATTGTTTTGTGAAACAATTGTTTGCTTATATATAGATGAAGGTGTGGACTGGTCTGATGTACAATTTTATATTCCCATTGTGCGTCCTGGTGAAAAAACTAACACACATAACTTAGAATCCTGGAGGTGTTCTTCCCTCCCACATCATGAGGGTCTTTGTGAAACAGCCACATACCAGGGACTCTTTGCCCCTTTCCCCTGAGTCAGCATCTGTTTCTTTGCTCTTAATTGTCTCCACCCTTCCCGGGTCTTTTTTCTTCCTGCTTCAGCCTCCCAATCCCCTCCTCCCTTTCTCCCTGGGATCTCCAGCCCCCTCCCACCTCCCCAACACGTACCCCAAGAAAGTTTGTGGACGGTGGTGGTGGGAGGTTTAGAGGGGAGTGAATATGGTCATAATGGAGATGACAGTGGGCACTCTATCCCAGAAGTTCAAATAAACAATTAGAGAACACCCAAGTACCAGGGAACAGAACAGAAAGTAGGCAAGCTGGAGACCTGACTCTGAAGGAAGGATTTTATCAGCAAGAGATGGCGGCGGCGCCCCAGTTGGTTGCACCCCGAGGGCCCTCACCAGCCTTGTCATGTTGGCTCTCTGATGCACTATTAACTAGTGACACCGCACCTTTTTTTTTTTTTTTACAAAGGGAAGACAGGAGCCAAGAGTTTTGGAGCCGACTCCTGGAGAGGGAGCGGTTGAACTGATTCGGAAGTTGGATCTCTTTGTACACAGGAATGCGAAGAGAAAAAAACAAAAACCACCCCATTGCTTCATTTCCCCTCCAAGCCCGAGCACTTTCTCTTGTACAATGGAAAAGCTTTTCACGTTGAGAAAAATGAATCCTGATTTGCGCAGTGAACGAATGAGCGCGCAGTTCGGCGCGAGACAGCTTTCAGCTGGACACGAAGAAGGCGCGGTGGCCAGCGGACGGGAGCGTCCCCTGCGCGCGGCTAGCTGTAGCGCCTGCGGGGGTCGCTGGACTCCCCCTTCCGCAGGCTCCCCTACTGGCTCTCAACGACCGGAGGGCTGAGGAATAGTAGTTGTTCGAGGACGCAGAGGGCGGAGAGTCCCGCGTTACGGCGGGTCTCCCAGGGGTGGGCGGTGGAAGAGGAGCCGGGAGGATGGCGGTTCCACGAGTCCATTTGGGGACTTGCTGGAGCTGGAACTCCGCCCAGGGGAGCCTGCAGGCGGGGAGCTCCCTGGAGTCCTGGGACACCCCAGAGTCGCTCAGGGCGCCTTTAGGGGTCGGGAGCGCAGACAGTGCTTTCTGCGCCAGGGGGACCGGGCAGCGGACGTGCGAGAGGCGCGGGGCGCTGGGGGGCGGGCTGGTGCACATGGGTGCCGGCGGGCGGGCCGCAGCTGGGGGGGGGGGGGGGCAGGGGTGTGGCCTACCCGCCTCCCGGGCGGGATTTGCATGTGTGTGTGGCGGCCCCAGACTTCCTGCTCCCTCTACGCTGCAGGTACGCGCGGGCCGGGACGGACTGACGGGCGGGCAGGAGGCCGGCGCGCCGAGACGCGGGCACCTTCTCTCCCGGACGCCGCCGCCACCGGCTCCCGGGCCTCGCCATCTCCCGCTCCCGGGGCCACTAGCCAGCTGCTGCGGCGCCGAACGGCCAGCTCCGAAGTGGGGGCGCGCTCCTCCCGGATCCCCGGACGTCTTAGTCCTCTGCACCGAGCCTGGCTCCGGACCCCCAGAGGGCCGCAGCCATGAGCGAGATGTCCAGTTTTCTCCACATCGGAGATATCGTCTCCCTGTACGCCGAGGGCTCTGTGAATGGCTTCATCAGCACTTTGGGGTGAGTGAGCCGAGCTCGAAGAGGGGTGCGGGCAGGAAGGGGACGCAGTGGGCCGAGGTGCCAGCTCCGTGCGTCCCGCCATCGCCCTCGGATGAAAACTCCGGGCCTCGAAGAGCAGAGAGAATTGCTCGCCGTTTGGAGAAAGGAAGTGAAATGTTTGCTCAGGTAGAAGATAGGCGCCCTGCCTGAGCTGGAGGGAGGCTCCCTCCACAAAGCCTCCACCCTCTACTTTCTTCTGAGGGGCGGAGGACCCGAGACTTCCTGTGCAGGTGGTCCCGGGGGCCGGCAGGTGGGTGGCTGGGCCAGCGCTGGGGAAGGGCGTCGGGGCCTGGACGTGCCCAGAGCTGGGGATGGGGCGGATCAGTATCGAGTGACTGAGCCTCAGCCTGGAGGCCAGAATTCACATTCCGGATCGTGAGGCTCCTTAGGAGGGTCGTACCTTCCCCACAGACCTGTTTCTGTCTCATTCCCCTTAAATAGGAGTGCCTTCTCAACTTTCTCCTTTCAGGCGCCCCAGGTCCCAGCCGGCTGTCCCCTTCGCCTCCCCTCCCTCCTTCAATTTCCTGCACTGCTCCTCTGGCGCCCCTGAGTCCCTGGCCTAGGGTCTCTCAAGTACTTTACAAACATTAATTAATTCTGGCTGCCACCCCACAGGGTCTGAACTGGATAAACAGGGAACAAGTTCATGTCCCTGGAGAGAGGGACAGGCCTGAAAGAGAGCTAGGGCATGAGAGGACTTAGGCAGAAAGAAGAGGTTAAATTCAAAGGGGCTGTTGAGTGGTTGGTGAGGGGTTGAGTGGTTCCTCCATTCTCCAGCCAGGTCCCACAGAGGGCAGGCAGGGCCTGAAAACTTTATCTCCTCTACCACGCACAGCTGCCCTCTGGGGAGTGAACCCACTCTCTTCTGCTGACCCTACTCTGCTGAATCTCAGCTGGTCATGGAGTGTCTCATCTCTGGGGGCTCTGGAGGACAGCTGGGGCACCCTCAGCCCAAGACTGGTTCTGGACCCTATAGGTTCACCCTGAATTCAGGAGGTCATAGCTTGACTCTCTTGATTTATCTCAAGGTTGTTGGGAGTCTAGCTTTACTCCTGCTGGAAAGGGAGTTGATGTGGGGGTAGGAGGGCTGTCTGCCAGCAGGGCCTTCAGATCTGGAATTGTCCTATACCCTGCTCTCCTACTCTCAGCACCATCCCCACCCACTCTCCCACTCTCCTGCTCATTCAAATGTGGAATCCTTGGCCACGGCCCCCCCCCATACAGGACTTAATCTGACTTCTCCCATGCCCTGAGTTTCCATCAGTACCAGTTTCTGTGCTGGCCTCCCCCATCCAGGGCTTCTGCCTGAGGTTAGGCACATAGTAGATACAAAGCAAACGCCTCTGATATTGTTGAGGGGACAAAGGGAGGGTGTGGGAAGCATGGGGGCAGGTGGTGTAACAAATCCCCCTCCCTATGTATATGAGAGGGCTTCTAAAAACGGAAAGATAATGGAATTTTTCCACAAACTTTTTGAAGCCCCCTCATATGGTGTCTGAGCAACACTGGAGGCTTTTGGGACAAGACCATCTCTCCTCTGTTGCTTAGTGTCTAGCTCAGAGTGGAGCGCACAGTGGACATTTTAAAGCACAGGTTTAATGGAATTGGAGAAAACATCTTATCCCCTTTACCTGCCGTCATAATGCCTCCTAATATAATTCCCTCCTCTCTTGGCTCTTCCTGCCCCAGGAAGTTGGGTCCTCTAATTCACTTTGATCCTGGGGCAGGACCTGGTGACCTCTGAAAGCCTTTCTATCCCAGGTATCCCTTCCCTGTGCACACACCTCCTATATCTCCTGATTTCCCACAGGTGGAGGCTGCAAGCCTCCAGGAGTTTTCTGGATTTTTCTCACCTCCCTCTTTATACCCCAAAGCCCCAGTTGTGTGCCACACTACTCCTGGTCCCTGGAACTCATCCCATGCGTGCTATCTGCTATCTTTGCTCCTGTGCTGCCCCCACCCTTTTAGCCTTCTCTGCCTGGGTAAATCCGTTTCACCCTTGGAGACCTAGTGCAATGTGAACTCTTTTGGAGATCTCCCCCAGGACAGAATTTACCCTTTTTCCTTTATCCTTTTCCACTGCTTTGGGTAAGCTCCTTTCCAGTGCTAATAACATTGCTTTACAGTTAGCTGAGATGTCTCTGTAGGCTGTCTCTGTAGGCCCATCTGATGCTGGGCATTTGGCCAGGATTAACTAATTAATTGAACCATTCATTCATTCAACACCTCCACAAATATTGTACTGGGTGCTGGGGATTCAGGGCAAGTAAGGGAGCTCTGCTTCCTGCTGTTCAGAATTTTGTCAAGATCGGATGATTTTTTTTTAAGTTCTGTAAGTTATTGCAACTCCAAGTGTAACCTCAGCTTCACAAAGAGGTTTGCTAGAAATACAAATTCTCAAACCCTACCCTGTTGTTGTTGTTAAGTGCCACTGAGTTGGTTCTGACCCACAGTGATCCTGTATAAGGTTTCTGAGGAGTGCCTGGTGAGCTTTAACTGCTAACTTTGTGGTTCAAACCAACTTTGTAGCTCAGCGCATTAACCCACAGCTCCATGCCAGTACTACCTTGTTGTTGTTAAGTGCTATCAAGTTGATTCCGACATAGTGACTCTGTATAGGGCTTCCTAGGAGCAGCTGGTAGCATAGTGGTTAGGAGTCAGGCTGCTAACCTCAAGGTCAGCAGTTCGAAACTACCAGCCATTCCGTGAGAGAAAGATGAGGCTTTCTAAAGATTTACAGCCTCGGAAACCCTGTACAGGGTCGCAATGAGTTGGAACCGACTCCACGGCACACTCCCATCACCACCAGGAACTGCTGGTGGGTTTGAATTGCCGACCTTGTGTTTTGTAGTCCAGTGCTGATCCTACAGTGCCATGTCAGGAGCCCTACCCTACCCTAGTCCTATTGAATCAGAATCTACCTTTTAAACATGGTCCCCAGGGGATTGGAGTGCAGTAATATGTGAGAAGCATTCCTCTAAGTGATCCTTTCTGCTCCATCCTTTCCTAGAATTTTTCTACCTCTGTTCTCAACTCTGGAGTCCTGATGTGGTGCTGTAGAATAAACACTAGACCTCAGAGTTGGTTTGAACTGCAGGGCTGGTAGTTCAAACTCACCAGCCGCTCCTTGGAAATCCTATACAGGGTCGCTATGAGTCAAAACTGATTAGATGGCACTTAGTAACAACAACAACAATTCTCAACTCTGGAGTCCTGGTGTGGCATTATTGTGGATTAATGTGCTGGACTGCAAGGTCCGTTTGAACTGCAAGGTTGGTGATTCAAGCTTACCAGCCGCTCCTTGGAAACCTTATACAGGGTTGCTGTGAGTTGGAACCAACTTGCCGGCGCTAACAACACCCACAGCATTCCCAAGTCTGGTCCCTTCTGCTTCTCAGGGGCTGTTGGTGACCTGTGAGCCCGGGATTTGACTGAGTTTCCAGGCTAGTCCGGTGCCTGACGCCCAGAATATGCTCAGTAACAATGAAATGAATATGTTGAAGACAAGGGTGGCAGTAGTGAGCAGAGGGGCCAACTTAGCAGGGGTAGGGCGAAGGAGAGCATTGGTGAGGGAGAGGGCTGGGCAGACTTTGATGCCAATTAGGCCTCTTTACAAAGCAGAGTGGAGGAGGCCAGTTAGAACTCCCTGGATAATTAGATCTCCTGGTGAAGATTGTACATTAACTCTGGGCTGGCAAAATGGGAGGGGTTTGAGGAGTGGATCTCAGAGCGGGCTGAGACCGCCAGCCAGCAGGGGAAACAGGTCTATGCCTGTTCTTGGTAGGAGAGTGTGCCCTGTGCCCCTGTTTTGCCCCTCACCCAGGGGGGAAGGAGCAGAGGCTAGGGCTGGAGTGGGTTTGGGGAACTGGACGAACCCCTCGACATCTCATAACCAGTCCTTCAAAGGTGTCTCTTGAGTGCCCAGAAGGGTGATTCCCAGGCCCACAGGGAGGAAATTGTTTGATTGTCAGTGAACTGAGTCTTGAAGTTGCATTCTCATTGTTGGTCACACTGGTGCTGCCCACCCGGTAGATGGACTTTTGAGCACCAAAGGGTGGGAGTGAGGGGGATTCATCAGGTCTTTGGAGCTCACAGCCTAGGGCTGGGTGATCAAGGGAGTAGGGTCAGAAAGGACTTCCCCCACTACTGCTATAGAGCTCTCTGTCCACCTTCCCTCTTGACCCAGGAGGGTAAGCAATGGAGGTCAGGACTCAGAGGTGTGAGGGTAAATGTGGAGTAAGCTATGGCCCCTTGGGGCTTGACTCACAGGAAGGGGAGCTCTTTGTTCCTCCCCACAAACCATACTTCTCTTAGCTTGGATGTCCCCTAAGGTGTTCTAGCTGTACCCAAGAATCCCCTGGGGCACTTAAGAAATTTAAAAAAATTCCAGCTCCCTAGTCTTACCCCAAACCAATTTAGGTGTGGGATCTGGGTGTTGGATGCTTTAGAAGTTCCCCGTGTAATGTTAATGTGTGCCAAGGCTGAGATTCCTGATCTGAGGTCCTTTCTCAGCTGTCAGGCTATGGGGAAGCCTGCCTGTAGGGTCTGCCTGCCTCTCAATGGTCTGCCTGCCTCTCAGCTCAGCTCTTATTGCTTGTCAGTTTCCATTAAGTCATTCAACCAGTGTTAATAGAGTACCCTCTATGTGCCATGCACTGTTCTAGGCACTGAAGAATCAGTGGTATCTAAGACAGATTCCTGCCCTTGAAGAGCTTACATACACTAGCTAGAGG